TGCGAAACGGAGAAGCCGTTAAACCGGGGCTCCGTAGAGTGTCATCGACCAAATCACGCCGTGATACAGCCGACGGCACGCTGCCCCTGGGCCCCCCACATTGGGAAGGACCCTCCCGAGTGTGGCTGCAGCGGCACACAGCCGTGGAGCGTGGAGCTCAAAGGTATTGGTAATAACAGTATTAAAGAAAGTAAGCGTGAGGTATTTGAAAACGTTCGGTGGTCAGAAATAACAAAATGAAATGCGATAGCTATAGCCATAGCAATAGCGATAGGTGGTAGGTCCCCTGGTCGGGTGATGGGTCGGTCTAATGAGCCTTTATGACTGTTTGCCTTCATTAATTTATACTAAAATGCAAATTGTTGTTTATCAAAACTCATTTAAATGTGAATCAGACTAGCAATCGAAGGGGGCCGTATCACACTCTAAAATTCAAATTAGAGCAAAACAAGATGAAATCTAGCAGGTAATGCTATGTTTCTTCTTAACGTCTTAATCGACATTGTAGTTACTTAAGATCTGTTAAGATGGCGCTGCTTTTACAACTCAAGAAAAACCTACTATAGTCAAAATTAAACTCGTTCGCTAGCAAGTGGCCCGTTATTACAGAATGGTCAATGCAGGTTGTCCGTTATCAGGGACACATAGTGGGATAGTACACAGTCGACTTCAGCCTGTAACTTGCGGGGCTATTCTGTAAAATTTTCACGGATTCGATGCGGTTCCGCGCGAATCTATATTGAAATCGAGTGGATCCGCATCGGACCCGGGCGTGAAAATTTTACAGAATAGCTCATCTGAACCAAGTTAATTTTTTCTTTACTGTTTTTGTTACAACAAATCCTTAAGATGTTTGCAACCCGTCACTAACTGTTTCAGACAGATCCAAAGGTCTTTCAAATTTTAAGATTATGTTTGTGCTTTTTCACAAAAGTAGAAGTTTTTTTTCCAATCAACTAAAAGTATGTAACTTTAAGTTTTAAATTGACGTGGGAGTCTGCGTACAATCTTAAGGTCCAAATTGAGGCTGGCCTACTTACGATATGAGCCCCCCTCCCCCTGGTTTGGTGACCCGTCGAAATTAGATATTTTTATCTCGCCTGGGCCACAGTCCCGCCTGCCTTTTCTTAAATTCGGCCGTGGCTCAAATGCATGCACCGTGAGAGGCGCGGCGAAGATACTACGCCCGGCCAAGAGCCACGGAGCGACGTGCGTCGACTTTGAGCGCGGCCAAAGGCCACGGAGCGACGTGCGACGACTTTGAGCGCGGCCTAAAGCCAAGGAGCAACGTGCGATGACTCGTGACCGCTTCACAGCGCAAAAAATGTTGAAACTATTATACAGGAACTTAACTTATCAACTAAGGCCCACTTGCACGTTCCAGGGTTAGTTTATTTATCTCCGAGTTAACTATTGAACTGGGGTTAAAAAAATATTTTTTCTTGCACTGCCCTGAGTTAACACTAAAGCTTAGGTTAAATAAAAATAATTAACCCGCCAAAGTTGGAGGGTTAAATTGCTAACTCGAGATTTAAAACGTCAAAATTGTTATTATAGGCTGTGTTGTTTGTTTTTATAGAGATAACATTTTATTTTATTTATTTCTGAATGATGGATGACTTTTTGTTTTCTGACGAATATTTATATATTTGAATAAAATATCGCATAGCAGTAAACTGTCACTACTTGTAAAATTCGGGGGCACGTAAACGAGATTTCTTCTTCATTTTACAAAATATAGCCGCACGAAATTGTTGTCACAAAATACAAACTTACGAGACAGATAGGTACTTTAAAAACACCATGCAATCGGTGTACAAACAACTATTTGACAGACAAAATACAGGACGTCATTCAACTTAAACGCACAAAAACACCACGTCTTTTCAAATTGGACATTACGAAAGAGATATATGCAAGATACTGTTGTGTGAAAGGGAGAACAATACTTATGTCATTCATCATTCTCTCTTTTTGTTGGGTTAGTAACCCCTTGATTATTTTCTGTTCGTGCAAGATAAAGTCTGAGTTAAGAAAATGTTATATTAACTTTGAGTTAGTAAACTCGAAGTTATTTTGATATCTCAAGATTTACGTGCAAGTGGGCCTAAGTATCTTTGCCGCCCCTCTCCCGGTTTGTGCGTCTGCGTCTTATTCTGTCTCTATTTGAGTTTAAACAATTGATTAATAATTATAAATTAATACTGTATTAAACAGAATTTAGCCTTATTTTGAATGATGAATGTTGGTTCAAGTGGCTCAAAATAACATTAAACGCGCGTGATTAAATGTCTCTGGTATTACAAGAGTCCATAGGCTGAATTACTGGTTATCATCAGGCGAACAGTACCACAAGCAGGAACTTTGATAGAGCCGTAATCGAATCGCATCGTCAAAGTTTCAATGGAAACTAAGCAGCGCCTCCACCGGACATAATAACAAACTGGCTCCTTTAATAGAAAATTTTACTATGGCGTTACGATTACGGATCTGCGGGCCAATCGCCTTACGCGATTGCTATGTCTATCGTTATCGCTAACGATTTCATTTTGTTATTTCTGACGGCCGAAGGTTTTGAAATGCCTCGCGCTCTTTGTTTTTCTTTTGCATTGTTAATAACAATATTAAATAAAATGCACGTGAGCTATTTGAAAAACCTTAAGCAGCCAGAAATAACAAAATGAAATTGTAAGCGATAGCGGTAGGCATAGCAATCCCGTTTCTTCGACGGCCCTAAAGTGGCCTGGGTGCGGCCTGACCAGCCGCGCGCCCAAGGTGCCGCTCCGGCATAGGCCACCACGTCTGGGGACTGCCTAGTACCCTAGCGCAGTCCCCCTGAGGAGCGTCGCTCGGTCCACTCGTTGGACCGGGCCTGCCCGGGGGCGTGCTCGGAGATGTGGCGCACGCAGGTGCGTCGGCCCCGAGACCGCCCCCATATGGGCGCAGGAGGGTACCGGAGGTTTTTAGTGGAGTAGGATCAGTGTGGCCTTCCGCACTGGTCCTGCTTGAGTAGGGTCGGCACTGTTTCCCGTGCCGGCGAGTCCCACACACGCCGTGCGCCTAGTCAGCGTCACGGTATGGTGCGTAACTGCATTTAAAAAAAGGCATAGCAATCCCGTTAGGCGATTGGCCCCCTGGCCTAGGCCTGGGAAAGGGCCTCTGTTTGCCATGTGGTTAAAATATACTCCCGGGCACATCTTTCGGTTCACCTAGCATTATAATTTTTGGCTTGTATGGTTTTGACGGTCCCTACATAAAAATGAATTTTACATTGAGGAAAAAGTTTTAGAGCAGTTTTGAAGCTAATTTAATAACCATCTTATCATGATTGTTTTTAAATATATTATTTATTGCACAGCCTAACTTAATTATATTTTACTACAGACCGTTGAAATTTATAACACTAAGTAGACCGATATATGTGTACGGAAGTGTATTTCTCGATAATACGTCACGCGTATGTCCGAGATCTAGGAAACTAAGCAGTTTTGGAAATGTCGCTCATGGGATGGGCGACCAATAACGCATCTTACACTTGAACTCCTGTGTGGTCCGCGCCCCGTCTGCGTCTCTTTCGCATCCATTTCATACATGTTAAGGCCGTTGGTCCCGGCTGCATTAGCAATAACAACAGATCTCGTATGGTGAGGTATGGCTCATTATCTGTATTCCTTCTCTATTCAACTTCCTCTGAACAAGAGACAGAAGATAAACACATAAAGCAATGTTTCTCTAACGGATATGGAAAACGGTGGGCTCAAACGTAATAAGTTGAGATATGATCTAAAAAATAAGTCATATTTTTTTTATCTAAGAATATGAAAAATCACTTCAATTCTCGATCTGGAAGCGGAGCAATATGAGAAAGAAAGTTTTCGTGAGATTATCGATTTAGTAATCGATTACACAGTTACGAAAATAAAACTTTTGCACTAAACAATTAGCCACACTTTCATCTTCTTACACCTGGGCCCAAGATTGTATGTAATCGTTTCAGTCTCCTTTTTTTATCAATAGTAGGGATGGCAGGTGTTACCATCATCATCATCAGCTTATTAATGTCCCCACTGCTGGGGCACAGGCCTTCCCTATGGATGGAATAGGGAGATTGGGCCATGACCCACCACGCGGGGCCAGTACGGATTGGCTGGTGCAAACGACTGCAGATGCAGCCGGGACCAACGGGTTGATGTGCCTTTCGAAGCACGGAGGAACTCGAGATAGAAGATTTTTGGTCACCAATCCAATGACCGACCACTGCGAAAGTTGCTTAACTTCACCGATCGCAGCCGAACGCGCTAACCACCCGCGCCATCGAGCTCTTCGGATCTACCAGATTGAATACGACACTTCACATTTCACCATAAATTACCTATTTGTTTTATCACTCCTTGTTGTGAACTATTTACTATATTTTGATAGAAACGTTTTGTAAGTTTCTTTAAAAATATAAAGTCGTCTGTGATTGTGTCAAGTTCACTCGTTTTATTTCTAATTGTCCATTTATTCGATAATTGCCATTAGTTTCATTAAGTTCTTTAGTCCATCGCTAACAGTACTCTTCATATTAATATTATTTTAATGCGTCCAAAGTGATGGAAACAGCTTCAGTTTTAACTGTATTTGTCACTTTTTTTAAATTATGATTTTTAAGCGTATAAAATTCCACCAATTGAGGAACCTTTTTATGGTTTGTTTAACTTCTGTCTCAGAGGAAGTTGAATAGAGTGTAGGAAAGGCCTGTGCTTCTTAGTAGTAGAGACATTTACAGGCCGCCAATGATATAATATGATAGAACTTTTATTTTTATTGCACAACGACCGTAGTCAGAGACGTCAAAAAATTTAATGTTAATTAATTCACGTGTTGTTTTTCTCCATTGTTATAGCACAAACAGTGACAGCAATAATTTTAAACAAACGTAAAAGTGAATGGACGTTTTTGAGTACGATGAGTGCCCATTTATTGAAGCCGGAGTTTAATAAATAAAACAAGCATGTCAAACCAGTTTCTTTATTTCGTGTTCATCATTTTAATACAACATACAAGTAAATTTATCATCAGATATTTATCAATTCTTACAAGCTAACTTAAGTAAGTCCTGAATAACAAGTAGGTATGCATATCGATGCTCGACCGATACGTGAATACAGACCAACGTATTGAGAATCGTTATTGGTGTCATCCAACCCACACAAATCATCAAACAAATCGAATCCAATAACAAATCTCTTCGAACCATCGACTTGTGGAATGTAAGAAAAAAATTACGAAAATCACTTCAAAAATGAAAAAATAAAACATCAATTCCAGTTTGACGAAACACAATAAGTACGTATAAAACCACGTCACAGAATTAAATGCAAGCAAAAACCAAAATGATAACACAAATTCACATCACACATACGTAAAACTTAACTGAAATGTCTGAGGTCCGGGACAGACAGAAAAGTCGCAAGACGCAGACGAGGCGCGGACGTACGAGTATGTCTCTTTCGCGTCCATTTCATACATAACGTACAGAAGCGTCGCGTTGCAAAACATATAGAAAAGACAGGAGCAGACACGATGCTTCTCCATATTGCATGAAACTGACAATGGCCACGCCCCGTCTGCGTCTTACGTCTTTTCTTTGTGTCTCGCGCCTTAAATACTGTAAGGAGCAATCATGTTAACATTCTTTGTAGTTTTCCGTAAAACGGTCACATATTCCGCAATACGTTTATATCACGAAATATATAAAATAATGAGAGTAACATCAAAATTTTCATTAACTGCAAAATAGAAAGAGTCCTGCCAACTTCTTGATACATCATTTAATTAAAATTAGGTCGAGATGAAGATGATGACATCAAATTAATTTCAAACAAAAACTGAACAACCTAAATTACATATAATGGAAGTATATCAAGATTATTGGACTCGTTACGATTGTTTAATAAATTAACACAAATATGTCACAAGTAAGTTGGCATGACTCATGATTTTCATATAATATATTTTTAAATAAAACAATAGGTACCAGTCAATACAATTACGTCGACAACCATCAATCAACTAACAGGGGCTCTACTTATTTTCATTTACAGATTAAGTACTTCATACAAGAAGAAAATTTCCAAAAAAGGAAAATTCAAGACAAATTGTACTAAAGTTACATCTACGAAACTAAGAGAAATAATGACACATTAAAAGTGTCGAACATTCTGACTAGAAAAGAGATATGGTCTCAGAAAGCTCAGAGGAGAACAAAATCATAAGAACTCCCTTATATTAAAATGACGAAAAAAAGTAGCCTTTAACATAACCCATATAACTACAAAGAAACTTAGAGGCTAACGTAATTGAAACTTCACTAACTAGCTTCGTAAACACAATAAATTACGTAGACATAAATACAAAATAAATTAGGGTCTAACAAGTGAAAAGATATAATAATATTGATGTCAAAAGAGTGACTGTATACACCCACAAGTGTTATGACAATGTGTATAATTGATACGATTTGATTTACATTAAGGTAGACCAGCAAATAACAAAAGAGTAGAAATTGAAACAAAGTGGGTTGATTTTAATGAATGGGCACTGATAATTGAGACAGGTGTAGCAGCTTGGTTCATAGATCGTTAGAGCTGTCGAATACAATATAATGTAACATGAACACTAAACCTAAATCATTTGCCACAATTCCTAACGTAGGTACTTCGTGTTCTGAAAGATTTACGCACATTTCTAGGTTCCCGACTCGGACCATCGCAGGTGGAGGAAGATGAATTACATGCTGAATTGTGACAACGATATTTTTTTTACCACACATTTAAGTTAAAGTCCTACACAGATATAAACCTTAAATATCGATTAGCATTCAAGATCATTATGAAAAAATATATCATTGGAAATATTTTTCAACTTCTCTCCTTAATTTCAAACCACCCAAGAACAACTTAATTATGCATGTGACAACCGATTTTTATAACTACATGTTTATCCCTAACAACACTTTGGCAACAAATAGTATTCTTCTTTTTTTCATTTTTCTCCGTCAATTTCAACAGTAACGTCAACATCATTCAAGTCAACATTACCATGATTTCACCAATCCTTAATCGATTTCGTTATATAATCGTCTCTAAAGATAGTAGACATAGAAAATTATCGACAGGAGATGACCATTAATGACATAAATATTGGATAGGAATTATCGAATCGACATATCCGTCTCTCTGTTTTGGCTATCATAAAATTACTTTTAAACATTATCCCTACAAATCGGTTCGATAATTCACATCTTACAAGCGAACTGATTACAGGCTACCTAAAATAAGAAACAGTTATCCAGTTTTTTTTTGATTTTTTTTTTGTTTTTCTGTGATCAGTCTTAATATTGAGTCATACCTAAGAAATGATGAACCCTTATTCATTTACATTAAATCATTGCTAGGCCAGAACTTTTGAATCTGCTGTGAGGATTATTACTGCAAAACTTAGTTAGAGAATGGAAGTTTAAAAACTATATTAGGAGATATAAAGGTAGGTAGAGTAAGTATAGGAGACGATTTAACAATTGCCAATCTACCGTCAAATGGATCTTTAATGCTTGAACTTTTGACATTTGTGGTAGCAATTGTATTAGTAATAATTTTCAACAGAATTGGAGGTATTAAAGATCCGTTTGCACGAGATAGAGTATAACATAATTGTTGTTCTTATGTATTTATTCTTTCCTTGCTTCATCATCAATACCCACATATAATCGTATATTAAATTGAAATGGAAAGGGGGAAACTTCAACCGTCTAAGGAAAAGGCTTTTCCACTAGTAAGGCTCTCGGGGAAACTAATTTACACCATCCTTACGCATACTTTATTATTGGTTTTAGAGTAATCAACATTGAATAGGTTTTTCATTTTAATATTAATCTTAATACTAAAGAGTACAAAAAATAAAGGAAATATTATGAATATATGAAAAACAACAAGTTATCAGCGAAAATCATCGCATTTCATATAAGAACAACATTGTTTTTTTTTTCGTTACAGTAACATTAATTGTATTATCCACGCTTACGAAGTATAAATGGGAAGCGACGCCACGACATGACGATCTGTGGGCGAGAAGACCGCAGCACGAGTGCCAAGCCCGTTTACTGCCACCACTCCGGTCCGAAGACCGTGAGACCTCACAACATCGGAACACTCTCCGGCTTGTCAGGAACCACCCCTCATCACACCATCTATCATCGTTTCCCTTCGATTCTCAATGTATCAAAAATATCTGCTAAAACAGCCCTTTCCCTTAGAGAAAAACTCGATAGAGTACATTTTGAACAGTCTCGAAGTAACTAATGAGTAGGTAACAATTATCAAACGTGTTAAAATGGGGATATGCACGAATCGAAATATTGAAATCAACAATTTTATCATTAATTTAGATCTTATTATAAAGCGATACCTACACAGAATTCTACTGCAACAGCTATTCTAGTTACGGGTTACGATACAATAGTGAGATATTCATTAGCACTTACATTTAAAAACAGTATAGAATAATTATGATTCATATTGAACGTGTGAGACACACGAGGAATCCTTAAATCTGTACAAAATTCAAATGATTTCATTTATTTTCACTTTAATAGAAATGATTTACACATTCCTTCAAATTTAAGGCCACGGCGCAAAATGGTGTTTCAGTAGATTATACAGTAAGATTACTGAATATTACATTTACTTTTTAAGTGCCTTTAAAACCTATACGGGCCTTACATAGAGTGTCAAAGCAGTTTCCACAGTGTGCCAACGATGCTTTTGCAATTTCTACTACCAGCTGCGTACGATCGGAAGCAGGCTTGCACGTCGGTACAAGGGAGCGGCGCGTGCGCAAGCATCACGTGACTGTGATCGTGGAGCAATGATCTTATACCTACTACTCTAAACTACTCCCAAAGAAAGCACGGCTTGAAAATGTTTTACAGTTAAAACTACTATCGTATGTAAAAAATATTGGTGACAGATTCACACTGTTCAAAGCTCAAGATGTGCCTTATACACTAATCTAACATAGACAATGCGATATCTAAAAATACACACTACTCCGTATGCTATGTAGTATATATAATTTAATTTAGTTCATCATAAGCATTGTGTTTTTCTTATATCTGGCAGGATGGCATTTAGTGTGTAAAATCGTTTTCTGTGTGGACAATTTAAGCATCGTATAACTAATTAGGTAATAACTTACGTGCATACACATATTATTATAACATTTAATTATCTAAAAGCAATTTCTTTGGCGACTAGCTTCATTTAGAAAGATTCCAAATTTTCGCTTTCCCGTACCTACCCAACACACAATCCAACGCATATTGAAAAACTTCACAAACTGAATTATATTGGTCTATTAATTTTGACTATTTCAATAAATGTAACCACTAAGTGGACGATATGTAACGTTTCTAAGTTCGAAACAATTTTCTATTAAATCTTTTATTTGTTCAACATGAGAATACTCCAAATGTCAATTGTCAAAATATTGTCAGCTAGACCAAATAGTACACATCGGTTCCATCCATCGTATAAACATCACTAACCATACGCTCCCTTTAACTCTCGCCTTCAGCAATCATTTAATAATTATAAGCCTTACATGATATGTCATTAGCTATACCGTCATTGTTCTATGCAACATTATTTGGAATCTTTCTGCGTGTAAAAACCACTGTATTCATAACTTAAATCACACACCTTATAATACAATAAATTACCTAACACACGTTATGAAATTAATGTGGAGTCGAGGCTGCGTTCAAAGATGCTGCATCTCTTTCTTTAATTTCGCTTAATGTACCGATAAGGTAGAAGGTTATTTCATAAGTGTTACAAAGGATCTTAAACAACAGCTTCCTATTCGAAACGTGAAGTAATAAATTAATATGACAAAAGTCAACATCGAGCTCTAACGGCACAGTGAAGAATTAATGAACGCATAGAATCATAAACATTACAAATATAATATTACCTAAGGTCATTATTAATTATATTTTATTTAATATCATACAAAACACCTTAAGAACTCCAAAACTTCGCCATTAAAAAAAATATCGTTCATTGAGAAAATAAATACTATTATTTGCAAACGTTTCAACTAACTTAAGCGATAGTAAAATATAATATTTTTTTACAATAAAATGTATCATAAATTCAAACGTGAGTTAAATTCAAACATTCAGCGTAGTATTCTTCGAGGATGGATGGTTTGTGCTCATATGTGCTTTGTTACTTTCACCTAAATTTACAACAATCACATTTTTGAGAATACGCGAAGACACCGGAACCTGAGTGTTCATAGTAGATGACGATCTTACAAAAGTCGCTTACACTGATACATCTGAAGACACAACAAACGTTCCGGCTCTCACGATCTCAGTTCATCTACGAATTATATCCCATTCGTTTTCAAACTCAACTTCAGTCATTTAAATTCAAAATTATCGAATACATCTCGTTCAAGAAAAAATACATCAAAAATTAAGTGAAATAGCAACGTTCTGTGCAATTCACTATATTAGCGAATCAATTAAATTCAACAATGAGTCAACATCATCGCTAAATACGATATAATAAAAGCGATCGTCAAAAAAATGATGATTATCAAAATATGATTAGATGTGGAAATAAATACAATTCCTGAGCAAACATACGCGCATATGGCGACTGCGGCGTAATCTTTATAAATCTAAGCTGTTACAATGGAACAAACGTAGAAGCGATCATATTTACATACAGCAAACATATCGTCAACGTAGGTCCTACAAAATTCAACGACGTTCTACTATGTAATATAATAAGTGACCAAACTGTTTAACCACATACATCTGACAAGCTAACATTCATACTTTTAATCTACCTTGATGAATACATTAACAGGTGAATTTATTAACTGTCACAAGAATTACCGAATTCAAACAATGTTAAAAGTAGACATACAGATATCGATATGGTACTGTAAAATCTCATAATTCGAATTCTTAATCCACACTAGTTAGGATATCGGTCCATTCGAATTCATCAGTAACAACAATTCCTAGCAATGTCCGTATCCTTATGCTATCCTCGTACCAACACAGCATATACTCAGAATAACATTTTGCAAATAGTTCGCCTATCGTCGATTCATAATTTCATTATAAAAAATACACACTCTTTCGTTCTACATTCACGACTCGCCTCCTTCACATCCTTGTGCAGATCCCGGCAAACCCTAAATCTATTATAGTTAGTAACGCTACCAACATAATTACTCTAATAGTATTTACATTATTTTTCTACACACTTCCTGACAAACATGATGTTGAAACTGAACTTCGAGATTTATCATTTGGGAATGATGGTCGCAAGCTTGAAATTTCATCAATGAACAGTTTGAACTACATTCGTACAATTTCTCGGCGAAGATTCAAGAGTTTATACATTAATTAAGAGGTTTCTAAGGGAAACACAGCAGCAGTTGATATTTTTTAATATTATATGTGAGGTGATTGTAATGAATACGATTTTTATTGCAACGATGTTGATTATATAATTGTAGATGAGGATACTATAGTAACTGATCGAAATGATACAAACGGTTTGAAATCTTAATTGTAGTCTTAAGAAAATTGCTGAGTATAAAATTATAAACAATTTGTAAGCCTAGCGTCTGCTTACGTTACTAGTAGGTGCTAGAGTTATTAGTAAAATGTTCCCTATAGTAATTGACTTGGAAATAGTGGATTTGGTTAGCGCATTTTTGTATTCTTTTAAAGCAGTGCTGCTGCTGAGGGAAGGGTAACGGTATCCAAAGAATCCTAAGAATGTATTTATAAGCTAAAATTTCGTAGAAAAGTAAAGCTTAGTTGGGATATTACCTTCACTTACCTTAGATTATAAATAGTCCTTAACACGAAGATTATAGCCTACTTTCATAAGAATATGTATTTTTGTGCCTCACGGCTGAGATAGAGACTAAGTAAGATACCGCCTAATTCACTGAGTTATACTCCGGATATTTTCTAAATAATTTAAAAGTTATTGTTAGATTTTTAGAATTTCGTAGAAAATAATAATATCAATCATAACTAGTTAGTTTTTCTTTGATGCAGCGACATTTTATGAATTAATTTAGTCAGTCACCATATTTTTATCATCTACTTATCAATGAGACTATTTATTTTGCTGAATTTACTACTTTTCTGTGATGTGTTTAAATGAGAGAACTGAGAGCGAATATCTTATGCTATTTTATCGTCGGTTGTTAGAAAACTTATCAGGTCTTGCTAAAATTCTTGCGTTTTTGGTATGTTCTTGGTAACTTCTTTCGAGAATTGTAGTTCTCTGTTATTTCATTTCGAAAGTTCATCAAAATGTATAATTGTCTAATAATATTTCGCTCTCAGTTCTTTCTTCAATACGATACATACTTACTGCTAAAGCAATACTTACGTAATTCATGCCAACTTTTGTTCCCCAAAACCAACTGTTGATGTAAACTCTTAAAGGATGCACTCACACAAAAAAAAAAACACACTAGTTGAACCTACCACCAAGTAGGACGTTTGTGTTAAAGAATCATCTCGAGTGATAAAAAGTACATGTACACTACGGTTCATGAAATATATCGAAATATTTCTCGTAGGCTACGTTCCAAAGATAATTACAAACTGTACATATGTGCTTTAAAATAATTGAAATTTCTTTGGTATTTATAACATTCTCAAGCTATGTTGATACTTACGTCAAAGGCTATCAAATTCTCTCTTCAAAATATGTAAAAAGAAATGACAGGATTTCGTTGCTTTAAAAAGGTTTTTCTTTGATCAATAATAAATATGTATGTTGATTTTAATGGTTTCTGGTTATTTAACAATGTTGAGTTTCTAAAAGTTATGAAAACTACGATAACTTCATTTCAATAAATATATTGTCAAAGATAATGGTAGCCTTCAAGCTTATATAAGGATTCATTAACACAAACATGCCTCATTCGTATCGATCAAAACTAATTTAGATGGTCATCTAAAATAATTTTGTCCGATTAAACTACATAAAGCAAGGCGGGCAAAGAAAAATGAAAATCAAAATAAAACACACAATAAAACTGCAATGAACTGGTATTATTATAAAAAAGCAATCATACAACAAAAATAATTCAAAACAAAACGATGTACATTAATTTAAAGAACAATTGTTTATACAAATAATCAAAAAAATATAATAATTATAACAACAAACATCGACAAAATATATTTAAAGACAAAACATGTTTCAATTTATCAGTCCTCAAGCTTTCGAAATGCAATTATAAGAATGAAATGTTTTCGTAATGAAAAAAATACTTTTTTCCCCTTAAATATTATGCTAATACACGAAATAATTTTATTACGAATGAGAAATTAGTTTGTAATAATAATCATTATAAATGAAACTTAATTCAGGTTAAAATCGATAACTGTAAAAAATTGAGTACAGCATTACAGGCGTGGTTTGTAGTTGTCATAACTTGCAAATCTTATTATAGTAATTTTGATGACCTACACTACACTTAATTTAATATAATACGTTGAAACGATCTCAATAAGTAGAAAGCGTATGTTTTTACCATAAAATAAACCACAAACAACAATTACAATGTTCACTTTCGACGAATTCTATAAAAAGATACCTTTTTGTCAACAATGAACATTGTAATTTACTGCCTGAAAATTATAAAAACTAAATAAATGTTATATCCAACAATATCTAGCGTGATCTCAGTCTCTTGGGGCGAATCTTTATAAATAAAGTTGTATAACGAAAACATAATAATAAAAAAAAAAACAAAAAAGGCAATGTATAAAATATCATCATAATAATTAGAAAAAAATCATGCCTGAACTCATTTGGAATTTATTGGTGAACATGCAATGATCTGATTCGACAGAAAAAACTGAGATTAAGCAGACGGTGTGGCCGATTTCATTAACCTTAAAATCAATTAAGTCCAGTTCAACAGTGGATTAGGAGAAACACAACCAACAAGAGCATTGGTATTTTCTAATTTACTAGGAACAGGATTGCCTATAAAAAATCATTGGTGATAAATCACTGAATTTGGATACTAGGACGTGTTGTTCGGTTGTGATTCGCTTAATCCAGTGGGATTGCTATTTTAACTATTCATCGAAGACACGTCTAGGCCACAAGCTTTCCAAGCGCGGTGAAATGCAAGAACAGAAAAAAAAATGTGAACAACAGTTGATCTCAAATGTTTTGAATCAGTGCACGATAACCAAGTGATCGCATTCAAATTTCAATTCAAATCGATTACACGGTAATATGCTTTGTGGTAGCATTGGCTAGCACTGCACTGACAAAATCATGTAACCATTCAAGACATCCACCAGACTTATGATAAGATTCAATATATCAGAGTATGGTACATATTTACAAACAATACTAAATATCACTTATTAAATCACAACTTGATTGTATGGCACTTGCAACGCAGGTAATTCATAACGCGCGGTGCTCAAAGCTCGTAAGTCGACGTGTCTTCAATACTTCAATGGGATCATTACTTTAAGAGATTAGGAATATCACCAAATCGAAACAAACTTATCAGCCTAAGCAGATCCAAAATTAAGAATATGACCCTCGATTTGGAGCAAAGGACCGCCTCAGATCTCTTCATTGTCATAGATTCGGCAAAGTAATAAAAAAAAATACTAAAATCATAATTCACTAAGAAAACCCAAAATCTAATCAAAATCGAACTAAAATAATTCTGCTAACACACTCAAACACACGGCGATGAAGTAAAAAAATAATAGCATAATATTCATAAAATACAAAAAAAAAATTAAATGTTACACATGCACCGTATTACTACTACTAAAAAATACGTTTCCATAATAAAAAAATCTTACCATAATAACAAATTGTATAATTATTTTGTATACGAGCAAGCTATAATACTCCAGTAAGTAGTAAAAACGAGTTCACTTGGCGGTATGTCTCTTTGTTAAAAAAATATCCGTAATTTAACTGACATTAAAAAAAATGCTAGCGAGACGATTATTTCCTAAGGTGCTCTACTAGTTACTACCGTGTCCAAATAATTACTACAAACATTCAAATACTAGATTTGTATAAAAGAGAATAATATTATTACCAACGAAGTTTTTATTAATCGTTAAAAATAACATGAGGAAACTAAGATCCGTGGGCTCTCAGTGACTAGGCGGTAATGACATCAATCAAATAATAATAATTATAAAAAAAAACTGTCTTCCAATATAATTAAAATAACTACAACCATTTCTATTAAACATTAGGACTCATTATTCATCTAAAATGCTTTATAATACTCAAGTTATGGAGTGTACAAGAAGATAGTAGACTTGACGTCTAGAAACAAATTGAGCTCTATAAAACATTTCGGATCACTCGCCGTATTGTGATGTATATAATTCAGTTAAATTCAACAACCGTCCTTCAGTTGCATTCGTTAAGATGCTATTGTATAACGCAAGGAACGCCGCAGTCAACTTTGTCATTGATAAAACCCCTAACATCACATTTCCCTTAAATTTTGTAACTACATTAAGAGGGGTAGTAACTAAAGATTGTCCATATCAGCTCAATCAATTTAACACTTACCTAATAATAATGTAACAACTTCTTACTTAATTTCATAATCATATTTCAATCGACACAGAATAGGTGCTAATTAAAAACAGGAAGTGCCGTTGTGCCGAAGAATAATCTTAAAACTAACAACAATACCGCTCGATGCTCTCTTATAAGATAAAATCACACGCTTAACGCCTAACAATTTGTTAAGTAATAGTTAAAATATTGGTCCAACAAATGGGCTAAATAATACAAATGCCCTTAATATTCATCCCTAATTTAACGATGTGGGATATGAAAAAATATTATTCAATAGATTAAAAAATGATAAGGGTCGAGAACACCGTTCGCAATGTTTGAATCGATCCAACGGAATAATCTCTATCCTTTTAATAGGTACTCGAATAACAATGTCAATACTATCAACTAATCTCGTTACAGTTTCATTAGAAGTAATGCATATAGAGATCCCATGCCAAAAAATATTTTAAGGAATTCCCATCGTTAGTCAAAATTGATCACATCGAGACAGCCATATTAATGTAACACCTGCACTTACAAAAATTCAGCAAGTTCCATTTCACTTTTGAAAACGTCACTTGAACTATACAAAAATTGACACAATGGCTATTTATTTACCGATAACTTTTCAAAGTCACTTGTTATTACTTGCGCTCTTATAGTTCATCGGTCATTCCGATCTCCTGTGATCAGGACGTGTGGCTCACATACCTATGGGCGGTACTTGCACATAACGATAGATGTAGAGTCGGTAGTCTTTGCTTGCGAGGACCACCGAACCATCATCCATAAGCGCTACGTCGAAGCACTGTGCGTGCTTCACCTTACTTTCCAACGCGGAAACCAATTGGCCATCTTGAGTAAATATCGTCAGGTTGAAGTTGTTGTGGTTATCAGCGATAAGGATCTCGCCAGCTGCGTTAATACCCACGCCGATAGGATAATTTGTAACTCCCTCACCGCCGATCTGGCGTAAGTAAATGCCTTCGTAATTGAACACCTTAACGCAGTGCGCGCGGTTGTCACTAATGAAGATTTCCTGTTTGTCATTAACCACTACTCCGTTGGGGAATTCCAGGTGCTTGGAACAGCCGAATTTTTGCAGTACATTACCGACTTGGTCGAAAATGATTACACGCATGACTTTGCATTCCACGACAACAATGCGACCTTTGTTGTCAACAGTGACACCGCGCGGATGTTGGAGAATGTTTGCGCCGAATTTGCGAACGAATTGCCCATATTGGTTGTAAATCTGAATTTGGTGGGTCGGCGACCTCTCAGTGACAATAATATCACCTGATGTACGCACTACAGCCACTCTGTTCGGGTATAAGAGTTGACCGTCGCGTTTTCCGCATTCACCGAACTGGAATTTAAAACGACCCTCTTTGTCGAATATTTGAATACGATGGTTGTTGGTGTCAGCAACGATGATATCATTTTGAGCATTAACGGCGACACCGCTCGGTTCTGTGAACTGGCCCTCCATAACTCCGAATTCACCGAATTTGCAATGATAAATCATCTTTTGTCGTTTAATTTGTGATTTCGGGGGGAAGATGGCAGTGGAAATTAATTTGTTGGTAAGGTCTAAAATTGAATCGTTGTGTGTTGCAGCAGAAAGAGAATATGGATCAGTAGTGGCAGCGGGGAAGAGAGGGTCGCATCCTCCATTTGACCATTTCTCGTACGGGTTGATTCCGTTTAAATTGATATCTCCAATAGCAGTAGAGAATGGTCCAAGACTGTTGGCACTGTTGAATCTCTTAGAAATAATATTAGATTCGAATGGAGATGTCGATTGACTGGTAGGTCCCAGAAGGCCGTTCGTATAAGGACGGTCTAAGACTCCATTCAAACCAGTAGGCAAATGGATACCACCGTTAAGGCTTCCGGAACTACCGTTGACGCTGCTGCTGCTTGATGATGAGCCTCCGTTCAAAAGTGAACCGTTGGTAGGTCGAGCGATGGGGGGTTGTTTAGTCGGGCCGACGTTTGCTTCGGAACTAGAACGGACGTATCCAAAAGTGTTACGCACGCCAACTTGTATCGCTTGATAATTTGAAACAAATTCAAGTTCGCACGCTGTTTGCATGCTTTGTTCGGGATTAGAACTCATCAGCGACTGTAATTTATTGTCTACTAATTTCCTGAACATTAAAATCTCCGCTATGTTGGCGCATTTGGTGAGACGTTCCATGAAGTCGCAAGTCTGATAGATTTTATCGACAGTCTCTTGAGCTTTTTGCCCGACTACGGTCAGGGCTATTTGTTTAGTAGAGAATACACTTTCAAGTTCTTTTAGTAATTCTTGTTTGCGCTCTTCTAACATAGAGCGGTAGAATTGGAACGTATCGTTAATTTCATTTTGAGCTTTGTGATATTGTACTTGTAGTTTTCCAGCAGCATGTTCAACAGTTTTCACTACATGCCTGATTTCTGTAGCTCGAGTCTTGGCTTCGTTTACTGATTGTTGCATAAGATCTAGTTGTTTAGGTCCGGCGTCAGATAAATGTTCGCAATCGTGCAAAGCAGCCGGGTGTTCGATTATTGTGCATTCTTTGCATACCGGCACGGAGCACGTACGGCAGAAATATTTCAGTATGTCATTTTTATGTCTCGGACAGAAAGCGGTTTTGTCACCACTCGTCGTGAGGGTGGATCCGAGCATACCCTTATCCATCCCGTCTTTCAAATCCGTGAAAGCGAGTACACGATGGCCTTCAAAACAGTGCATGAATTGGTGGGCCATGACGCAGTTCGGGCAGAGAAAATTAGCACAATCGACGCAGCGAGCTACGGCGTCAGATTCTTTTGATTTGCACCCTGTGCAGCGAGCCGAGGGCGAGTTTGTCTGACGAGACGACGGTAGGAGATCAGCTTCCTGCTCGACAGCCGCGGCTATCACAAGGTTCGGCAGGAGTCCGTGGACACCAGTCGGTGGCAGTTGGCTGTCGACGCGGCAAGTGACGCAGGTGACTTTATCTGGGTGTGTCTGCTCCCTCTCCAGGCAGGCGCGACAGAATGTGTGAAAGCAGTTTAGTACTTTGGGGTCAACGAATGTCTCTCGGCAGATCGCGCAGGTGGTGTCGAGGCCGTCGAACTCGCGAAGATCACATACGGCGGAGTCGCTCGCAGGAGGCGACGAACCGCTAAGGGTCAGGGGTGATAAGGAGCCACGCTCCAGCGAACCTATAGAGTTGGCACCGGGCAGCGACTCAAGGGACGGGGTGCGTGAGGCCATCTTCAGAAAACCGGCATCCCTGAAACAATGGAAATAAAACTATTAATCTTAAGAAAATAATTATACAAATCTTTACACATAATCATAATAGTGTAAATCGAAATATGTGTATGTGTGTATAACCGGTATATACTATATATTAAGCGCAAGAAATACCAGTTCACAAAGGCAATACTGTGATCTCAAATTCAGATAATGCCTTAAATACAATCAATAGATAATTTATAGAAAATTTTCAATTGCGGTCAACTAAGGGGGCAACATTAAAAGGAATGGCGAGTATTCAAAAATTCAATAAAGAGTCGAACTGCACGCTGGACCCCTCCGTTTAATATCTTCGAGACGCGTCTCTGGAATGTTTATTTCGTGATGCAGTTTTCTACTAAGGGCACCGTCACCATAGCAACGCATGGGGCGAAAAGTAAGGGGATACTTCGTATTCGAATTAGGGTGAGGGTGGAAATTTATTTTGACTCCCCCGTGTTTACTAATGCTACCTAAGGGGAGATATTTGCGAGGTGAATGCCCTTGTTTTATGGTATTTAGGAATTATATCTAACAAAAACAACAAGTGAGTGTAATTGTACGATCCGCTTACCCTAAACTTGTTAGGAGTTTTATTAGAAGTGGTCCTTCGTTTTATGAGAGAGAAAGTTATCTGATTAGTTAAACAATTCATTGTATGACTGTTATTCTAAAATTGCATATCGAGACAATTACCGTTTCAGTTACATAACGATAATAACATCGTTGTGTGATAGAAATTGCATTTGAACCGTAAACATAGATTTAGGTAAAGCCTTTTATAATGTATCACTAGCTATCTAATTGCAAAGGGTCCTATTGGTCGGCGGTGGAATTCCCGTGATCGATGTGAGCGTATGCAATACATTACACGAGCTTGCTCCCCTGGTGGCACACCGATAGCGTTGCCAATGCGCTGCATACAAAATCACCGAAACTGGGATGAGAGGCGAGCGACGACAAATGAAGGCGAAATTTAGTTGGAGCCTCCAAACGTGTTCGGTATAGGTTGAATGCGTTTTCGAAAAATCATTCACCTTTATCCAATATATAATACACACACATATATATATATATATATATATATATATATATATATATATATATATATATATATATATATATATATATATGTATATAATTCTTCTGTGAGTGTGTATGTCACTGAACTTCTCTTAAACGACTGGACCGATTTTGATGAAATTTTTTGTGTGTGTTCAAGGGGATCTGAGAATGGTTTAGATTCACAATTTTGCCCGCTGGACAATGTTTTTTTAATTAAATTTTTTATGGCGGTACGAAGTTCGCTGGGTCAGCTAGTACATATATATGATGACAACATTCATTCATTATAAATAACTAAGACCTAAGCCCACCAAAGCAAAGTGTAGATGCTGACCTTTTTTAAAAAATAATAAAGAAATGTGAAGAAACAGACATTAAACTAATAAACGCAAAATTGGATATTTTCATTATTTTTAGTGGAATGAAACGGTTGCCTTGAAACTTAGCAATGATAGGACATTTTATGACATAATATTTTAGTGTGCAAGTGAAAAGAAGATCAATGTTATTTAAGTAGTTTTGTCAACGTTTTTTATTGGAGATGCTCTTTCTCACAATCCAAAAGGCGAGTTGAGTGTTTTGCATAACTTAAAATCAATATATGCAGGGAAATTTCTTTTTCATCACAAAACGGATTTGATGTTACCGATTAATAAATGTTTGCCGAAGAGATTGCGTTCATCGCTATTGTACACCATTGGACCACAGCCCAAACATTGTATCAGGGTCTGACACAGCAATCTGGAGCATGACGCATGTGCAGGGATTGAATGCGGAGTACCGCATCAGTAGCAATTAGTGCATCGATGCCGCACTGTATCCACATGAGTAAAGAAGGCACAGACGCCAAGCTTCATACAGTGCACGTGTGTGAGTGAACACTGGCGATTTGTCGCCGCCAATAGAAACGTTACTCTGCGTACGCGACAGGCACCAGTGTTCACTCACCCACGTACAAATTGTATAAACCTTTGTCAGTCTGCCTTCCTTACCCGTGTGCTGTCACTGGTCATTCAGCGTTTTCGTTGATTTATTGGCCAGACGTGTTCCGCAAACAAAAGCAATTGATCCACCTGATAATGATGCTATTGAGTATATTAAAATTACGTAATTATAATTTCGTTTCTTAGGTATTGGCTTTGTTGAAACAATGCTTTAAAAAAAGCTGTAAGTTTATAAAATGAGTATTAACATAAGCAAAACCAGTCAGTTTATATTCTATCAACGTAAAAAGATTGCAGGTACTTAAATAAATGATTTGGTAATTAAATTCAGGACTAGAAAATGACTTCTCGTCTCCAGACATCTTATTAATTGAATTATATAAATATTAACGAAGACGACTATTCAATATTATTTTATGCTCATTGCTTCTAAATTCATTTTCAAGATTTGAGGAATGAAGTAAGTAAGTAAATAATTGCACACAGGGATTTGAGAGCTTCAGAGAGTTTTTCTCATATGAAATAGGATAAGAAAGTAGATTAGTTGTTTCTTACCAAACTAGTATTTGGCTTTAATAAATTGGTTTGGTACTAATTTATTTAAGGAAAATACTAGTTTGGTATTATACATATTAGGATTATTCCTTATTAATTAATATTGATGACTACAAAGATACCCAAATTTGCGTTCAATGAGTATAGCTGCGAAACATGTATAGCATTATATCAAAAAATAGTCAAGACAAAAATAGTGTAGACTGTACAGCAATTTATGTAAATAGTCAATGACAGTAATTTTTTACAAAGTAGTTCGAATAGGTAATAAAATGAATATCGCTTTTAAAAATCTGTGACATAGTAAAGAAGCAAGCACATATTTGCAAAGTGACGACCAATAAACAAAATAATGAAGGTATGAGAAACGACGCCATCACAAGTCTAGTCAATTTGTATCCCCGTTTTAGGCTGTCAGGTAACTGTTCGGACCCCATTAATTGCGATTGGGTCGAAGCAGATTACAGAACCTCTAAAGGTTTTCTGTACAGTACTATATCACAATGGTTTCCGGTGAAAACCTTCTCTAACAACATCATAACAGAGTGTAGTTTTGCGTGTACGGGATTAGTACAATTGAAACGTCAGACTGCGTTGTGGTGGACTGCGAAAGGTGAAGCTGTTATTCCAGAACAACGCGTAACTAATTCTGTTCATTAATCATTGGCGGAAGAAATAATTCATGGTCGGTAACTAATGTGACTGCGATTTCTCCGCACTTAATAAATTTTTCGTACATCTAAAACGAAACGAGCTTACTCTGGAATACTGAATTGGTTAAATAAATAAGAGACATAATGTTCAGCACAAGACAAAACTAATTACAAAAGCTTGGAAGATTTAGTTTTTAATTGAAATAGCACATAGAATTATTGGTCGTTAATGATAATAATTTAGCTTATACGCCGTTTTACATAAAGCAAAGTACATTACCCAACTCCAATGTTAATGATAATGTATTATAAAATAAGAGAGGAACTACAAATGTTTACTATACTATAAATATTTTGAAAGTTCTAAGAGTTTTAGTGAATTAATTTCCATATAGATACTGTCAACATACAATGTACTGCAACGTCTGTTAAGCTAGCATGGCAAAGTGAGCAGAATCGTTTAAAATAAAGTGCATCAATTAGTGCTTATTTAGTGCTAATTTAGTGCCAAAACCGGAAATTTAATGCTCTCATAGTTTAGCGAAAAATTAGAACACTGCCAGCTTTTAATTAAGCTAGCAGTGTATTCCCTGAAACGCCTATATTAACGCGGTATAGAACTAAAGCAATGCTAGGGAATTTAGTGTTTAATGAGTGCTAGCAGTATCTGATGAAAATTTTGAAAAATAGAAAATATTTTATTTTTTATCAATAAAAACTGCTACTATGACAGTCTGAGCAAGTGACCGGTTCGAATACATCACTCTGGATCGAAGATCTATGATAATCAACGGTTAATAATTTAGTGCTCAATGAGTGCTGCCAGTATGTGATAAAAAATTAGGAAATTTAATTTTTTTTAATTTTTTTATCAATATAAACTGCTAGTATGAGAGTCTGAGCAAGTGACAGGGTTGAATACATCACTCTGGATCGAAGATTTATGATAGTCAACGGTTAATCATTTAGTGCTCAATGAGTACTGCCAGTATGTGATAAAAAATAACGAAATTTTAATTTTTTAAATTTTTTATCAATATAAACTGCTAGTATGACAGTCTGAGCAAGTGACAGGGTTGAATACATCACTCTGGATCGAAGATTTATGATAGTCAACGGTTAATAATTTAGTGCTCAATGAGTGCTGCCAGTATGTGATAAAAAATAACGAAATTTTAATTTTTTAATTTTTTTATCAATATAAACTGCTAGTATGACAGTCTGAGCAAGTGACAGGGTTGAATACATCACTCTGGATCGAAGATCTATGATAATCAACGGTTAATAATTTAGTGCTCAATGAGTGCTGCCAGTATGTGATAAAAAATAACGAAATTTTAATTTTTTAAATTTTTTATCAATATAAACTGCTAGTATGACAGTCTGAGCAAGTGACAGGGTTGAATACATCACTCTGGATCGAAAATTTATGATAGTCAACGGTTAATAATTTAGTGCTCAATGAGCGCTGCCAGTATATGATAAAATATTTCGAAATTTTAATTTTTTTAATTTTTTATCAATATAAACTGCTAGTATGACAGTCTGAGCAAGTGGCCGGGTTGAATACATCACTCTGGATCGAAGATCTATGATAATCAACGGTTAATAATTTAGTGCTCAATGAGTTCTGCCAGTATGTGATAAAACATTCGGATTTTTTTATTTTTTATTAATAAAAACTGCTAGTATGACAGTCTGAGCAAGTGGCCGGGTTTAATACATCACTCTGGATCGAAGATCTATGATAATCAACGGTTAATAATTTAGTGCTCAAT